GCAACAAAGTTCCCCCAATGATTAAATCCTTCGATGATCAGCCCAGTATTTTTCAGACTACCTCTGATGACTCTCAGCAAATGCAGTGACTCTGAGAAAATTGGAAAGTCACCATCCCTTCTCTCCCCAAGCACAAATCATGAAAGGTCATGGGATTAGGGATGGGCAGAGCCAAGGAAGACCCCCAGCGACTACAAGTGGCTCAGCTCCTTGTCTGGCTATGGGAACCTGCTATGCAGCACACTCAAACTTTACATGCCTTAGTTTCTGTGGAGGAGCACCATGGTCCAGCAAGAAGGGTTGGAGAACAACACACAAGGAAGTGCTCAGCCCTTAAAAATCACAACTCTCTAGCACCCTGACTGCACAGAGTGGCCAGGAGCCTAGGAGGCAGATCATACAGGCTAGGTTGACATCCCAGTTTTGCTTCCATCTGCACATGGCTCTGGGCAGCTCAGCTGGCCTACAGCTGTTTGCCATCCAGATTCTGTGCTTTGTGCAGGTACCATGCTGCTTTACTTCTGGGTATGTTCAGTGCTCAGACAGTGTTGGCCGTTTCTACTGAGATGGTTACATGACCTGTTTAGACTGCCACAAAGCCAGGATGGCAGAGGCCAGGGTAGATGCTGTGACATGATGCTCAGATCCACTGCAGGAACGAGGGATATTTCCCTTAGCACTGAGAGTGCTGATATGGTCTCAGCTGTAGGGCCCCTATGGGATTTCCTCATCCAAAAACCCCAAGTCCTACCAGCTTCATGGGAAGGGGAGGATGCTGTGTCCAGTGATGGATCACGTAGGTACAGAGACGTCCTCTCAGGGCCACCCTAGTTCTGAGCACCACAGACTGGCTTTTCCCTTTGCCACCCTCAATCAAGAGTTCTTCTTAACAAGCCTCCTGTGAGCTAAGCCTCTCTCAGAATTGCCTCCCCAGGTCCCCCACCTGCAACAACTGCTCACACCCAGTTACAAAACTTTGAAAAATAATTTTAAAGGTTAACAAGCTAACAGACAGACATGCGCTTCAGGTCTTGGGCTCCTCAATGCCAGTGCCCGTATTTTTAGAGAAAGAATCTGAGATGGTCAGTGGGTTGGGAAGGGAGACCCAGGCATGGGAAGGGTGTGGCTGAAGCTGGAGGAAGGCCATGCTCTAAGGCAAAACATCAGAAGACTCCACTGTGCGTGGTTCGGCACACTGAAGCAGAGACTGAACTCAAGTCCTGGGCCGCTTGTGGGATGGACACACGTGTCCTGGGATGGACTTGTCTTCCCATACCATGGATTCCTTCCCATGGTGCTAGTGGACAGGAGAAACCAACGGCCACGCAAAGCACCTGTCGGGAAGCAGGGACAGGAGGTGGCTAACAGAGGCAAGAGGGGAAATTCTGCCTTGACCTCTGCCCTCTAATGGTAAGTATGGGCCCCTTGAGCCTGGCCCACCTGCATCAGAAGGCTGGTAGGTAGAGGTCAATGCGCCTGGGGTTGAACGAAGCGGTCCTCAACAGGGCTTTGTGAAGGGCTTGATGAAGTACCCAACTGTGCTGTCACAGTACCTGGTGCTCACGGCTGAGCCTCTAAGAAGAGAGCTGAAGGCAGTTCCAGGAGAAAGGACTTCCCACCCTCTGCCACCACAGCCCTTTCTTGTTGATTATATGAGGGAGAAGCTGAGGAGGTGGAGGGAAGGCCGGGGCAGTGGGGTTGTAGTTTCTTTCACTTATCACCTGACTCCAATTAATACTCCAGCAGGCCTCAGACATGGGACCCTCAGTCCACAGAGGTGACTTGTAACTTCTTGCATGATGTAGTTTTTCCCCCCTGAATCTTTTCACTCCTGAAGCTGCTCTGAGTTTAAGCACCCATTCCGACTTTAGCACCTGGCTCAAGAGAAACTAGTCCTGGGCTGGTTTGTTGATGTTGCTTTGGGGGGGATACTAGGGCTTGAACTCAGGACTTTGAGTTTGCTAGGTAGGTACTCTACCACTTGAACCACATCTCCAGCCTGTTCCTGGGCTGTTCTGAGGAGTTGGAAAATGTGTCTGGACCAAAGCTTCTATCTACACAGAAATAACACTGGGAACAACAGGAAAGGAGAGGCAGATGCCAGGTCTTTCTTCTAGAAATCTGTTGACATGCCTCCCCCGCCTGCTCTTCCTGGCCCTCCAGCATCAGACAGTGCACCCAGGCTGTACCTGCCCAGGCTGGCTTCATGGGCCTGTGATCTGTGCAGTCTCACATGGCCCCATGCTTAGAAGGCGCCACCCTTGGTTTAATGTCGTGAAATTATGAGGCCCCACTTTTCCTCTTGCTCTGGGTTCCACAAATCATCTAGGTAGCTGGTCCTGCATCCATTACCAGAATCTTAACCTCTGGCAGGGCAGCAGATGCTTACATAGACCCTCTGCCTTGGTCGGGGGCAGGAATGTGCACACACTAGGCTCTGCCCTCAATTCTCACAGGAAGTCTGGACTCCAGAGGATCAGCAAGGATATCCTGAAGCTGTTCTGAGCACCAGACACAGTGGCATTGACCTTCCTCCGCCTTGTAACTGGTACCCTCACCCCCAAAGTCATAGATGGACCATAACCCCATTGCTTCACCCAGTGCCTTCCTGTCTTCCTCTCCCTTGGAAACAGAAGCAGCTTCATGCCCTGCAGCAGGACTCTGGTCAGAAGTAAGGGAGAACTTTTCCTAACACATACTCTGGGGCTTTGTCCAGAAATCCAACATCCTGAGTGAGAATCCTACCTCTGCCTAACTGTGTGACCTCAACAAGTCAGTGGCCCTCTCAGGATCCTCAGATGACAAACCTCTGTCCCTGATCAGCTGTGGGGGTGATAATGGCATGGCATAAGGCCCCAGCATAGGGCCTAGCAGCAGCAGATCATGAACTTTTCCTCCCATTGATCTTCAAAAAAGAAAGTCATGGGTGTGGGGGTACAGCTCAGTGTAAAACATGTGCTTAGCAGGCTCAAGGCCCTGGGTTTGGTACCTAGCACAGAAGGAAGAAAGGGAGGAAGAGAGAGAGGGAGGGGATATCATCTTGATGTCACTCAGGAACCTTTCAGGACTATGCATTCTAAGACTGGGTGCCACATAAAGACGGGCACTAAAAACCCTGAAACAATAAATCAATGGAAATGCCCTTCTTAATAAACCCCTCCCTATCTGGACACAATAAAGAGTGGAATTTGGAATTAGCAGCCCTAGGTTTGAGGCTCTGCTGGGTGGGACCTGCCTCCTGAGCCCTGGTTCTCTCACACACAGAACGGAAGGGACGGTAATGATAATAACAAGAACTAACATTTATGCAATTGACTCTGTACTTGGTGTTACACTCTCCAAACAATCCTATAAGGTGGTGTCATTGTTATTTCCATTTTACAGGTGAATAGACTGAGGTATAAAAAAGTTAAGTGCTTCCTCTCAAAGTTCCAGCAATTTGATCTGCTGTGAAGATCAAATTAGGAGACACAGGTGGAAGTTGTACTTTGGCCTTGTAGTTTTTTTAGGACAAGGTCTTGCTGTTGCTCAGGCTGACCTGACACTTGGGGGCTCAAGTGACCCTCCCACCTCAACCTCTTGAGTAGCTAGGACTATAATACATGTCACTATGTCTGGTTTGGTACTTGGAAATTATCATGTGGACATGACTAAGGATAATTGCAAATTGCCCATCACAGACATCACTTTCCTCCCCTCCCTTCTGTCAAGGGCAATGTGGTGGACCTGTGTGCTTTTCTTTTCTCTTTGCCTTTCCCTATCCCTCGACCTCCACCCCTGCCCATCTCTTCCTTCTGCAAACACTTGCCAACACCATAGTCCAGCTAATTGTCATTTTCCCATTTTGAGGACACTGTGGATGGACGAGTGAGATGGCAGGTTACCAGGCACACTTGGGGCATGCCCATCCTTTCCCCCTTCCACCAGCCACACCTCCCCCATCATTCCTTCCTCTCTTTCACTCAGCTGCCTTCTCCAAACAGGAAAGACGTACAGTCAGCGCTGGATAACTGCTTCTAATCACAGGTGACAGAAGGAATGTAAACAGGAGAAATATCTCAATGTAATCCAAGTGGCAAGGAAACTCAGCTTACTGGGCTCACTCGAAGCTCCCCAAGCCCTTGGAGAACACTCCTACACTCTTTTCTGCCACTCCACCTTTGCCTTGGAAGCTCTGCTCATTAATGCCCTGTTTATGGGAACCCCAGAAACCTGGGGCTTCTGGAAAACAGAAGAATGGAACGCTAAACCATAACCTCCTTTGACTCTGCTACCTCCGGGGAGGATTTTCTACATTCCTCCAATTTTTCTGTTCAAAGCAATAATTTTAATGTGCTCTGTTGGGAGATGGTGGTCAGAGCTGCCTTTGACAATCTGTTCAATGCTAGGTAGGGATCCCAAGCAAAGCTCAAACATACAACATTTTGCACGTCATTCCAAAGGTACATGGACCCCAGGCTGAAATCCATTTTCTTTAACATGGATAGGACGGGAGGAGCACAGGAGAGAATTCAAGTGAGAGCCGATGTTTCTAAGTTCATAATCACTGTACTCAAAGAACAAACCTAAGACAAGACATTCTTTCTCTCAATCTCTCTGTCTCTCTCTCTTTAGATTGACAATCTGCTTCTAAACCACCTCCTTCAATGCAAATCGAGAACTCAATTGAGTAATTGCCATGAATAATTTCCACTAGGATCACTTAGTGCTATGGTTAGCAAGGGACTAAGAAAGCCAGGATTAGAAAGGTAGATCTAAATGTCTGTGCTGGGTGGGGTTGCATACTTCAGTGAGAGTTCCCAAGCCAAAAGGGGGTTTTAATAGGTGGGTATTTGGATTCTTTGTGCTATGGTGGTTGTCCATTAATGTAGACCTGTAATAGATGGTCATCTCTCCCTGCTTGATTCTGGACTCTTCCCTATATCTCTTGTCAGTGGTATTGGAGGTGAGAAGTGATGTAGGCCAGGAAAAGGTGAAGGGGCATGCTGGGGCCATCTTACCTCTGTGCCTGTTGGTGGTTTTATCAAACATCAGCATTGCATCCTCCACCTACCAAAACAAACACAGAAGAGAAGTTGCTTTAGGAATTTTCATAAAATACACAAAACATTATAAAGAAATATTGTGTGAGGGTGAGGGAGGTATTTTTGCCATTATTAGGAGTAACAGTTGATCATTAGAGAATATTTTAAAATACCATAAAGTAAAAAAGAATCACTTGTTTTTCTACCCAGCACAACTCTAGTTAACATACGGTGTATTCTCCTTTAATGTTTGGTTTTAAAAATTCTGTAACTATTTTAATATGGCTTATATCATATTGATGTAGAATGTTTTTCCTTTTTCCTTAATCCCTTCTTTTTCCTTTCCCTTCCATTCCTCCCTTCCCCCACTCCTTTTTTTTTTCCACAAGCAATGTTAAAGCACTACAAACACCCCAGCTCACTACATCACGAATACTGTCTTGACTGCTGCATCATTTCATGAAGCAAGAAGCCATAACTTCATTATTTCCCTTCTCATGGAGACCGAACTTGTTTCCAGTTATGAACAATGGAACTCCAGCATCTTTACTGCCATGGGTTGAACTGTCTCCGAAAATTCATATGATAAAGTCCTCACTCCTAGTGGTGTAACCAGAGTGTATTTGGAGCCTGGGTCTTCAATGAGGTAATTACATTAAGATAAGATCACTGGGGTGGCCCTGATCCAATATGACTGGTGGGTGTCCTCATAAAAAAAGTTTAGGACACAAACACACAGAGAGGTCAGCTACAAGCCAAGGAACAAGGCCTCAGAAAAACCAACACTGCAACACCTTGTCATGACTTCTAGTTTCCAGAACTGTGAGAAAATAAATTTTTGTTGTTGAAACCATCCACTCTCTGGTACTTTGTAACATCAAAGAGGAGAAACTACCAAAGGTATCCTTTCTCTTTCCAGGCATCCTGCAGGCTCTTTGGAGACCTCTAGCAACAAGATTTCAGGATCCATACTTGCTTCCCATGTAGATCTCAAGAAACTCAAACTTAATAACCAGATTTGGCTTCAGCATCTACTCCTTTTGTTCTAAGTCTAATCCCTTATTCCCCAAAACATATCTTTTTTTTTTTCTTTTGGTGGTGGTGTGGTTTGAACTCAGGGCCTCATGCTTGCTAGGCAGGTACTCTACCACTTGAGCTACACTCCATCCCTTTTTTTTCTTTAGTTATTTTGGAGATAGGGTATCATATTTAAGCTTTGATATTCCTATCTACATCTCCCTCACAGCTGGGATGACAGGTGGGAACTACCATGCCCACCCATTGGTTGAGATGCAGCCTCTCAAACTTTTTGCTCAAGCTAGCCTCTAACTGTGATCCTCTAGATCTCTGCCTCCCAAGTAGCCAGAATTACAGGTGTGAGTCACGGGTGCCTGGCTTATAAAACTCATCTTTAGCACAGATATGTGTCCTAACTAACCAACTACTTATTTAAGCAGAGTGCCTGCTCTCTTCATTCATTTACTACTCACAGTTGGCAGCAGAAATACAACCCAACCCATGTGGTTGTGAGTGGAAAAACTGTTAGCCAGAGCTGTGTCCTTGGAGCATTTCCCATATGTGTATGTGGCTGGGAAGGACTGAGCACCATTGATTTGTGCTCAAAGGCTCACAAATGAGCTTGGGGGCCTGCGCTAAGCCAGCTGAGAAAAGGAATCATAAGCTATTCATTCCTCACTCCTCCCGGACTGCAAGCTCCAACTGAGGAGAGGGCCCTGGGTGATCCAAGGAAACAAGGTTTACAATGGTGCCTCTAGACAAATCAAATCTATTTTTCTAGATGCTATCAGATATAATATGGGGAAGAGCAAAGTCCAGGTAAGAATGGATGAGGGGGTAGATAAGCCAGTCACAAACCTTGAAGGGACTGGCCTGCCTGAAAAACCCCTTCCGGAGGCAGGGCCCCTTTTTGTTGCTAAGCAACCAAGCCTGAACAAACAGGCTCCTGGGGCCTTCCCCTTCTGGTCCCCACTCCTGCAGTCAGTTGCTGGGGTGAGAGTGGCCTTGCTTGGTGACTCCTTCAGCAGGGAACTGCCCCCTCTCTCCCGGGCAGCAGCTGGCAGGAGCAGACGATGGTAGTTTGGAGATCACTTGAACAGGAACTCCTTCCCCAGGCCCCTCCCATCCTGGCAGGCTTGAAGAGTCCCCCAGGCACCTGCTGAGGCCTGTGCACACCACAGCCATTCTGCCTCCCATGCACCACTCAAGCAAAACCACCATAAGATCAACCGGTGTGTTTGTACACAGAGCAGTCACACTCCAGCATATGGCATCTTTGCCTCAGACCCCAGGATGTGTGTGATAAGAATCCAGATGCCTGGGGTGCGGGGTGTCGGGGGTGAGCCCTGCTGCAGATTGGATTGGGCAGGTAAATGTGACATCTGCTTCTTCGCACCCATCTCCACATTCTCCCAGATGTCTGCCAAATCCTTATTTTGAGCTGAAAATGCCTAACAGTAAGGAAAACAGCCTCCCTTCTGTGTTGGCCGTGTTTTGGTACTGAGATTCGGATCCCCTTAGGAAATAAATATTTTGAATTTACGAAATGTATTTTCAAAACCCTTTATCAGCAGTGTGTAATTGGCTCCCTGTTCTCCATGTTGAGTTTTGACACTTTCTTACACAACCTCCAATACTCACTCCACCCTGGTGAGTATCGAGGAGGACCTGTGTGTCTCTGGGGGGCAACCATTGTCATAAAGAATAGAGCTCTTTCCTCTGTAGTCCAGCTGTACAATGGGACTCACAAAGACCTCCTGAATAGATAAAGTGTCAGGGCGAAAGAAAAATTCTATTAACACTTTACTGAATACAATGTCTAAGAAGGAGCTAGAGAGGAAAGAGAAAGGGAAAAAAAAATCAATATGGATAGGTCCCAGTGCTTGGGGGAAGAAAACTTTTCAGCGGTTGCAAAACACTTATTAATTCAGAGAAGCCATCAATACGATGGAAATCTGGCAGAACAGCAAGAGCCGAAACTAGGAGAATTTGAATATACAAAGACTGAATAGAATGAAAAACATGGCCTCACACCGGGCCTGTTTCTCACGGTTTTATGTGAATCAAACAGAAGCTGCTTGTGTGGGTTCTCCATTAAGGGGAAATGAGGGGCACAGTTGAGGTAACTGGTATCAACCCCGGAGCCAGGGAAACTAGAAACAATCTCAGCCTCTCTCTGTCTCTGTCCCACATGAGCGCACACATCCTTGTGAAACCCGAGTGGATTAGCTGGCTGTGTAGTCAGCAGGCCGCTCTCACTCAAGGTCTACAAAGGGTTGGGGGGCTGTAAACAGGAGTTTTTCTGACCTCAGGTAGCAAACCATTGCTAAATACTCCTTGAGGGATACTAGCCTCATCCCTGTGATTAACACTGGCATTTACTTTGCGTTGATGACATTTTCACATGCTACCTTACAGATCTCTTTGTACCTGGCACAGGCACCTGCAGACCTACTGGTCTTGCAGATCCCAGGGGAAAGAGGAGGACAGGAGGTGCCTGAACCTCAGCTTGCTTTGTCTCGTGCTTTGGCGCGAGCCTGGTCTGTTTGGAGAGGGCCTTGGTTCAGCCTTGAGATGTGCCTAGTAAAGACTGAAGCAGATTTGCCAGAAGTCCTGGCATTTTTAGTGGTGTATCTTTGGGAACAAAAATGCAAAGTGACTTTTAAGTGTGTGGTCAGGAATGGGAGGCTTTGCTGACACCAGAAGGTCTCGAGTACGTTTTTCTGGCTATGGCAAGACTTGATTATGCTGTAACATCCTTGGCAGTGCGGGAGAGTGAATGAAAGGGGAACCTGGCCGCTGCTCTCTGGAGCCACGGGTGTTGGTGGGAAGGGCCACCCGAGGCTTTGTTAGGTCACAGATCTCCTGGGCCCTGTCCTATTTGTGTTTCTAATGGACTTCCAGGTGCTGCAGCAGCTAGCCAGACCCCCTTTTTCCTGCTCTACTTATGGAATGAGAAACAGGGCAAAGGTTTTACAGACACTGGACAGAGCCTGCTTCTTACTCTAACATGCACTTGGCGTTCAACACGTGGAGTAAAACCTCTCTTCCAGATGATCCACTGCAGTGTGGCAGCAGTTCCCCCTCTCTTTGTTCCCCTTCTCTTGACATTTATATTTTAACATCCTGAAAATAATGACGGTAGGACCCGAGGGGGAAAAGATGACAAGAAGAGGGATTTCTTAGTGGCAGCCAAGCTGCCTCTGCACCTGATGCAGGAAAAACTTCGATTCTACATGGATGATACAAATTTTCCTTCTAACAGATTAAACTCCTGCTAAAGTCTAGATCAATGCCAACTAAATCTTGATTAGAAAATTGAGCTAATGGCAATTCTGTTTACTCTTATGCAACCTGTATTTATTAGGCACTCCCTAAGTATAAGAAAGAGGCGAATCACATAGTTCTAGGCAGATGGATCACAGGGATGGCCCACACTCTTCACCCTGTAATTTTGTACTTTCTCTTCCCAAACAGGAGGCGTCTACCACCCCATCTCTTGAATCTGGACTTCACTTATGGTGGCTAATAAAATGAGAGAATGGTGTGCCTGTTTGAGGCCTGGCCTTGAGGGGATTCACATGCTTCTGTGTGTCCTCTCTCAGACCTCTGCAATCACCATGGGAAGGGTATGCCTGGGCTGACCATGTGGGACAGGGCCAAGTCCCCTCATTTGTCCCAACTGAGGCTAGTCTAGATCAGCTGACAGCTAGATTGACTCCTCCAATCTAGATTGCAAGGCCAGCCAAAATAAGCAGAACCACTCCCAGTGACCTCTGGACACGTGACATACACAGTTTGTGTCTGCCACTGAGGTCCTGTGGCATTTTTGTGGCAACAGATAATTCATACATGGTTCCTGTTCTTTAAAAAGGAGAACAAAAAACTTGCATCCAGAAGATACATAGTCTTAAATGATACTAGAGAATAAACAAAGGCAAGAAAGCGGACAGAGAAGAGAAAGTGCTGAATGTGGACTGAATAATAATCCATCAGGTTTCATATTCCAAATGGAACC